CTTGAATTGTAATAATGCTGCTTCTTTTATTCAAACTTTCACCCCACCCTAAATCGACTTTTAGCCGCATTTTGGAATTTCCAAGCACCATTCAAACATTCAAAAGAGGAACTTAAATTTCAAAACGCTTAAATGAGAGTATTTAGAATAACTGAGGAATTATAATTCCAATGTCAGATATAGGATACGTCTAAAAGCTCAATATAACCTCAAGGACAGTCATTGACAGATAGTTTAGGCCAATGGTTCATATCCGATTTCCCTTTTTTAACACTCTAATATCCAATCAAGTGATTTCGGCCAGTATACAGAGTTTCATCAAGTGTGTTCTATCAACCCTACATGACAGGACGCTAGATGCCCAAAAAAGCGTTATTTTACTCTGTTTTCTTCTCCTCTCTCACGATGTAGATACTCCCTCCCTTTCCCGCAAACTGTCCCCCAATGGGACACTTACTCTCGGTGCGTCCCGCAGCGTGGTCAACGGTATTACATTTCCAGCTCTGGTGGGCAAATTATCTCTGTTTCGGCTATGGGGGCGAGAACGCAGCGAACAGGATGTGACATCACTGAGATGCACAGAGGGGGACGTTGTGAAGTGGGTGAGAGACAACTGGGACACCCCGGTCTGTGATGTGTTTTCAAATTCCAGCCTGGAGTGTGGTGAGTCCTCTACTTTAACTAAAATATGTTTCTTCAGTTTTGTGTGAAATTATATCAACCCTACGTTAAGTCACAACAAAATTGATATTTTCGCCCCTGGGTGCGTCCCACAGTGTTTACAACAGACAGTGGTTCACTTTAATGCAGTAAATCACCTGTCAGTTTCATCAAGCGTTTTACAGCTTCGTCCAACCGTGGCTGTCTTTGGTTTACAGTGTGTCCTCAGCCCTCAGATTAAATATTGACCCCCTGTCTCTTTGTCAGTTAAGTAAATATTGAAGCCATTCTGTGATCAATAACACTAAAATCAGAAGCATTAATCATACAGCTGTCATACGTTGTTATTTTCACTCTGCTAGGCAGGAACCTGCACTCATTTTCAACCTCCGAGTCCTGAAATGCTGATATTCATTAACCTTTTTTAACTAAATAACCTTTTTTTTGTAAATCACCGATTATAATTATTTGGTTAGAAAAAGCTATTAACCTGTCAGAATTACACAAATCTCCATTTTCATTTTATTAAAGTATTAATTAAGTTGAGTAGGATCAGTCACGAACACCGCATTAAAAAAGGGTAACAAAGACAATCTACAGACTAAAGATAAATATCTGACTCATTTGAATACAGAGGTTATATCAGGAACGTTTATACCGTTGATACTATCAATAACGGGAAGAAGTAGTTCTGCATAAATTGTTTCAGTATAAACGATTTATTGCAGCCTTGAGTTCTGCTTCAGAAGTTGTAATTCAACTGGAACAATCAGAAATTAAAATACTTTCAGGATTTACTGAAAATATAATGATGCTAAGAATTCTTAACCATACTTGATATTCATAATTCTCTTGTGCATATGTTTTAATAGTTACTGTTTCTCCTTTACTTTTTCTTGACTGACATTTACATAATGGTGTTTTGTATTCTCTTTGGCAGAATGGTCCGTGTACGAAGTGAGACTGATGTTTCTCATCATACGCTCCGATGGGAAAAACAACACAGAGCTCTACACGGCCAGAGACATCGCACATACCTGGGTAAAGAAACAATGGAGGAACCTCAAAGAAATATTTTACTACCTGACCTACAGATATTCCGGATGATTTACTATTAACATTATTATTACTGTTTATTCTCACTGTTGCTTTGGTGTTGTTGTTCCTGCAGCTCAGAACGGTTCTGCCGAGCACCTTCTTCCTAAACAGAGTGTCCGTGTTCGAAGTACCCAGGTATGAGAAGATTGGAGTTTTCTCAGTGTATTTTGTAATAAAATATCTACGAATGTCATGTTGTGTCCCGTCAATTAAACCCTATTTTATAGTATACGACGGAGAGGTGGAACCAATGGGAGTGTTTGTGATCTTTTTTGCAGATCCAGGAAAAACAACAGCTTTGTGAATGAAAACAAGCTGGTAAGAAGCACATTAAAGCCTACACATTGATAAATGCATTAGAACACTGTATGTGCTCTTTGGTGGTGCTATAGGGTATATGCAGGAATCCTGAAGTCAAATGTAATACCCTTTAAGACCTTTTTTAAGACCCTCTCCATACATTTTAAGACCTCATCGCCACTTACATTGGCGACACACTTTACCTCACATTTACTATTCAGTATTGATTGTCCTTCCTCCTTATCTTCCAACCATTTGGACGCAAACTTGCATTTCCCCATAACGATGTTGTTTAACAACCGTCGTAAACGGACCTTCGCGCTATCAAGCAGTGAGCGTGCGATGTCCTGTTCAGATGACGTCAAACCCAACGGGATGCCATAAATAAACGACACAGAATCCCACTACACACCTACGCCATGATTACATTCAGGCAGACTGTAGAATACAACCTCTTTGGACCATTTATATACTTATTGAAAACAAACTACAAAATGTAATACCTTGGAAAATGCCGTTTAATACTTTTTAATGGCATTCATTTTCACTAAATTGATTTATCAACTTTTAATACTTTTTAAGACCCCGCGGACACTCTGTGCTAGTGATGGTTTGTTGACCAATTCTCAGTTCAATTTGATTAATATCGCCAAACATAACAAATCACATATTTTCACTATGAGGCAATATTGGCCAATAAATTGTTATTAAGTAATTTAAAAACTATGATACTTGTATTACCCTCCAAACTCCATTATCACTTAGGCTCTAAGCATATAGGAATTTTCTCAGTGGTGATATTTAGTAAACCTTTGAAATCTATGTCTTTTATTCTTCAGGTGCGGTGGTCTCCCTCTTTAAAAAGGTAACATGGTCCAGGGTTACTGTTTCACACAATGATTTATTTTTTAAATATTATATAATCGGATAATGGTTTGGCATTAAGAATGTCAACTATAGGGGGCAGGATATAATTATAGATCACATAGTGTTCCATTAATTATACGATATATCTATCTGCAACGTAACATATTATTGTAATTATGTTTCTTTTAAGTTCATCTAAATTGCCATAGCTTCTTAAAACTTTTAATTAATCACATTTGTATTTCAATAAATCTGCTGGTCTGAATCTTGTACAGTGAGGCAGAATACACTAAAGAGAAGTAAAATGGTAAATCAAGGCAGAAAGTAATCAGTACTTGCAATGAGTAAAATAAAAACACTCATTGGTTAAACTGCTTGTGAATTACGTCCAAACTAAGGCCTTAACATATGGACATTGCTTAATTTCAAGGGATTTAAAGCCTAAAATAGGTTAACCACCGCAGCAGAGGACAGTATAAACCCTCGATGTCTCCCCTGCAGGTTTGACTGCCTGGTTCATATCAACGTTATCCCCAGCTTGAACGTGGCAACCGTGAAAAATATGATCCCCACAGAACTGAGGGACATCTACTACGACCCCAATGAGAAACTCCAGCTGCAGGCTGATTGCGACAGCATACACACCACACCTGTTGGTAGGAAATCACACTCTCCCATGTGGATTTTTTGCAGATTAAGTCCTTCTGGTTCACAATTATCATTCCTCTGTTTCTAGAAAGTTTCTCCGCTGTTACCACCAGTCCTCCTGGAGAGGTAACAGAATCCTCAGTCACAACCACCACATTTAAAACCACAACATCCATTAAAACCACTAGCAACCCCACAAGTGTCCCTACCACTGCGGCTCCAGTCACAACCTTGAATACAATGACCCCGGCAAATGTCTCTGGTCAGTCAGATTATCAGTTGTGTGTGGATTATTATATTATTTTATTAGTTGTACCCTACAGGATACCTAATTGTTTATTTTGTTTGGATCTCCTCTGCAGAGCTGTATTTTGAGGTTAAGATGAATATTTCCCTAACAGGAGACTCTGACCCAGGACAGACAGTTTCCACCTGGGTAGGTCTGATGATAAAAAAGTTCTTCAGGTCTGAGTAATATTGATTAGTTGTTAATGTGACATTTGACTGTCCACAGCTTAACTCCAGTCTACCAGATGACATGATGATGGTGCTTGACCTTCAGCTGCTCCCCAAAACTCAAAGGTACAGTATGGGATGTACAGTAGCTGCCAGAACATTAACTCAACATCCTATTCCAGAAAAATGTAAAACACTGATTTCACTTTTAGGCATCAAGATAAACTGCAATCCACTGCTAACAAAGTAAGTAACCATAAAAAGATCTAGTCACAATTAAAACTTGTATATGTATATAATATGGCATCTTTTGCATGATTTTTGAGACTATTTCTACATAAGAACTACAGAAATATGCTGGTAGGCAAACTTGATATTTGAAATAGTTTTCTCTATCCTAAAAAGGTATCAATTTAGAAAAACACAATGAGACAATGAGATAAATGAGAACAAATATAGCAAGATGAATACATTTCACAGGATTTGAAGCCTGATTTTACAATTGGTACTACGCGGGGTGGAATTTATTTAACGAATATGCAATTATTAACATTTGTGTAACCATTGTATGTTCTGTCTTGAACTGCCATTTGTTTTTAAAGCTGTGTAAATATGTGTATTCTTTTCCAGATGTTTGGGCCCAGCATTTCAAGGTATGGATATTGAGGCTCTCCACAATTTCACCTAGATTTTGGACAAATTAAACCAAAGGAAAAGGAATACAGTAAATGTGGTGGAAGATATACAATGAGTTAATCACTAAACTGTATCGGTGCTTTCTTTCTCACCCTGCATCCTAATTTGTGTGGTTCAATTTAGATTTTCAATGAATTTTAAGGATTTATACACCAAATGTACCTGGAATGTTTTACTACATGATAAATCATAATAGGACCAAAAGAGCGTTTTGCATAACACATTTAACTTCTACTGTCTGCAGAGAGAGCTGTATTTTCCAGGTTTTGGTCATGATGTCGCAGTTGGACACACAGGAAACAGAAACGCAGATACGACACCTACTGCTGACGCCCTACAACAACGGATTGATCTCCATAGTAACTGAGGACATACAGATAAGCCGCATATGTGAGTGAGGTTCAGTAAAGGTTACAGAGCATATCGTTTAAAAGAGGAATACAATTACTAAACACAATCGTTAATACATTCTAGAAGAAAAGACTATCCTCTCCTTCTCTTTTTCTGTCTCTCTGTTGTAGTGATAACTAAGTGCAACGCAGAAACCTACCTGACGATGAAAGGCCTGTTTGTGTGGCCCGACACTCCAGGAGGAAAAGATGCATCTCAGCCGTGCCCAAAAAACCCTCTAAGCCACGCCAGACGACAATGGTGAGCGCTAAGACAGTTGATTCATCTCTGATACCAAGCCATTACCAGTTATGATCAGAGGTGACGATATGCTCCTTTGGCGGCTTCTGTCTATTTGGTTTCATTTAAAATGTATTTAATGTTGTTACAGCACTGTTGGTAGTACAATAAAAGCAAAGGAAAGACATCTTTGGTCTCTGACTAATTGTCATTGTTATCATGCAGGCACGCTGAGAAAAGGCTAAATGTGTTTAGCTGGTTTGCTTTGTCCACATGACTCTAACCCATGAGTGACTGCAGGCCTATTTCACCATTGATTACATCCGTTGGTATATCTTTTTATCTGCCTCTCACTGTGTTTAGGGCCCTTTCTGTTTGTTGACAATGTCTATTAATGGCTGCTCATAAGCTGTAAGAGGCTAGGCTGTAAAATCATTAATCAGCAGGTGGGTGTTACTAATGACCGAGTTAATCGATGTATAATTTCCAGGATCAACAACCTCCCAGCTATCTAAAATCTGTTTTATGCAAATATGGATATATTCTAGAACATATATAGAAAAAAGCACCATAACATTTGTTTGAAAAGTGTTTTTTTAAAGCCCTCTCTCCACCTGTTTGTCTGACAGCAAACTGTGCCTCAGTACTCACTGGCTGGTCTCAGACCTGGAGGACTGTGGTCTGGTGGTGGAGACCATCCCTGATCTGAATCATGTTGAAGTCACTGCTGGTCTGTGGGACACTTTTTACTTATTTGCCTGTCTCATGTTCTATCGGTCAGCTTATACACATTCAATCTCAAATGTATGGTTCAAAATGTAATGCCAAAGATCCAAAAAATCCATAATCACATACTGTATTTAGTTGCCTAAAAACAGATGTATTAGAGGAATGTTAGTGACTTGGTTTATTTGCAGAAAATATTCATTTTTTCTTGTCCTTATTCCAAAAGAGATACAAAGTTCTTTATGCGGCTAATTAAAATAGGTATTCCAGAAATATTATTGGTAATATTCCAATTAATATGATGTCTTAAGCGGAGAAAACGACACTAGGAATAAGGTCTAAAAGGGAACATCCAAACAGAATATGCCATTTACCAGATGGCAGTGACACCAGGGATACTGTCATGTTGGCACATTTTGTTGAGTGTTGCTGGCATGCAAAAATAGTCAATGTTGCTAAGTTCATACCTGTTTTGTACATTTAAATCCCCATAACAACCAATCAGTGTAAATACCAGGATTTTTTTAAAGTAAAAACACCACATGTTGTATCACTCATCTGCAGAAAATGCACTGGAGGTGGTGGAGATGATTAAGGATTTATTGAGCGACCACTCCACACTGAACTACCAGGAGGTGGCCACAGTCCTCAACAAGCTGGAGGACATTGTGAACCTCAGCAGGGTCACACCATGCCTGGGCCAAGCTCTCATCAACATCATCTCTAACATACTGGAGTCTGACAGCAACCTGGTGCCTTTTACTAACATGTAAGGAGGGAAAACTGAAGGGACTGGCTCAGATTTTCTGTTTGACGTCTAATCAGTTTCCTTACTGTTTCCTCCTCAGGATCCTCAACATCACTGAGGCAGTGGGAGACAGGATGATGGGCTACGAGGGCTCCTCCACCCTGACTGCCCCCTCCATTGCTATCTCAGTGGTGGATGTAGTTCCTGGAGAGTTCAGCAGTTTAACTTTCGGAGTGTCATCTGACCGCGCAGGCAAAAAGCCTGAGGTTAGTAAAGTGACAACACCACCTACAAATGTCCTCTATATATGGATTGGTAAAGCCAACTGATTTCCAGAATCCATTCAATAGAACAAAACTATAAGGTATATGTAAACGGATCAATCTCTTGATTTGAATGAATATACCCTTCATGAAAGTATAATTCAAATGATGAAGCCCAGCCATAGTCAGTAATTGCTTTGACTGTTGTTTTTCTTATGAAGGCTGGCTGTGTCTGAGCTTAAAAGAGCATTAAACGTTTTTTTTATTATTTCTGTGTAGATCTTCATCAACAGCTATCCCTTCAACCAAACAGTGGCTTTCATCTCCCTGCCGTCCGTCCTGCAGCACAGCTTCCCAGAGAACAGCTCCACCCAGAGCCCACCCAGAGTCAAGTTTCAGTTCTTCGGCATCCCAATGCTCTTCAAGGTAATAAATAATAATATAAAATTAAATATAACACATACAATTCCAATAAAACATTTATTTGAAACCCTCAATGTTTCAAATATACTGGGTAGACTGTTATATATTAAACAATCCAACTTGCATACACATTTCATTCTTTTCTTCAGAACAGCCAACAGGGGCACGTCCTCAACACCTTTGTGGTATCAGCCAGTGTGACCAACGCCAGCACTCCAATCAAAGACCTGGATGAAGACGTGGAAGTCATGCTCTACCATCTAATACCCAACACAGTAGGATCAACGGCCCACTAAAAACAAGGCTATACAAATCAAATCTGATACAGAGTTACCACTGCTGTTTATGTAGTGATTGAACACATTTGATTAACAAAACCATTTCATTCCCATCTCTGTTGAAGCTTCACAGGGACGTGCAGTGCGTGTACTGGAACTTCAATAAAAACAGTAGGTCCTGATTTAAATCCTCACTGCACTTTCTGGATGGACTGTGTGGTACTGAATGTCTGTGTCATCACATAGATGGACACGGAGGCTGGGATGATGACGGCTGCAGGAAAGAAAACAGCAGCTCTCGGTACACAACGTGCCTGTGTGATCATCTCACACACTTCGGAGTTCTTCTGGTATGCGTTTATTATATTTCTTTCCTGAATAAACGTTGGCTCCACAGTGACTTTAGCATGCTTATGAGTTTTGGTAATGGTAGCAGTATTAATAGATGTAGTCTTAGAGAAGGGGTAAGTGGTTAGACTCAGATTTGACCAGCAGAGGGCGCTCAAAGCACAATACAAATTAACTACTGTCAAGTAAAGTTTGACCCAGATTATTTTTGATTAGACAAAGTCATTGTAGGACATGCTTCCTGTTCTAGACTACTTTCACAAAAAGGCAAATGGCATTGTAATTTATCACAACCTTGAGCATATAACTTTGAAATAATCAAATGCAATTAATCTATTGTGAAAGCTATAAATGCTGACAAATGTACTGTAAAACTGCAAACATATCATGGATACAACTCCTATTGTGACAGCAATTCACACTAATTCATATTTTCGCAACCATTTTTCACATTCTAGTGCTTTAGTAAGCTAATCATTTGAGAGTTGTTCACGTCACATACTTTGTATTAGACACAAAAGCAGTAACTGTTAGTTATTTGTGACACGAGACAAATAAATACACTCTTGCTCATAAAGCCTTGTTGTGTTTGTGTGTGTGTAGGACGTCTCCAGGACTCCGTTGGACCCGGCTAATGAGCAGATCCTCACCATCATCACTTACGTTGGATGTGGAGTCTCCTCAGTGTTTTTGGGAATCACTGTTCTCACCTACACAGCTTTCGAGTGAGACTCAAACCTTGTTAAAACCTCCACTAGGGAGGTCATGTTTGCAACTTGGTTTGTCTGTTTGATTGTAAGGAGGGATAAAAACTATCAGCTTGTTCCTACTAGATTTTTGTTTAAACTTTGTGTAGTGTGTAGCATAAATAAAGAGAAAATAATAACCAACCATGTGTCCTAAATGAATAACAATAATATAATTTAAGCATAATCAAATAACCACTTAAATGTTGTGATGTTTCTCTGTCTTACCTTTCGTTTTCTCTGCTTATCTCCGTCTCAGGAAGCTTCGTCGGGACTACCCCTCTCAGATCCTGATCCACCTCTCCCTGGCGCTGCTGGGCTTGAACCTGGTGTTTCTGGTCAACTCGTGGCTGTCCTCCTGGGGTCTGTACGGCCTCTGCGTGGCTGTAGCATCCACAATGCATTACTTCCTCCTGGCGTCATTCACCTGGATGGGGTTAGAGGCCCTTAACATGTACTTTGCATTCGTCAAAGTCTTCAACGTCTACGTGCCCTCTTACATCCTAAAGTTCTGCTCTCTGGGGTGGGGTGAGTCGTTTGTTCACCTGACTGACATAACATTTTGTTGCTGGCCATTGTGACAACCAAAATTATTATTTGCTATAACTGCATTTAAATTGTCCCTCCAGGCATTCCTCTGGTTATCTGCATCCTGGTGCTTATCGTGAACAGAGAGGCCTACGGCAGTGACCTCTACACACACGGTCAACAAAGCCTGAAGCCAACTCTAGACAACTTGTGAGTTTATCCTGTATGTCCTGAGGCATATTTGAAACACAGGGGTTTCAATCAGCAGTAAGACTGAAATAGACAGAATTTTTAAATCTTGTGTCAAGCAAACTTCAAACTTGACTGGATTTTCTCAATTATGAAACAAGAGTATACATTATTAAGATTATATGTTTGTATTATTGTCACCAACAGTTAAAGAAATATTGCAAAACATTTTTTAATCCTTTTGATCCACATACAAGTGACATATCAAGCTGGTCTTAATAAAGTCAAACTAAAAACTGAAATTGATATCAAAACTTGAATTAGCGGTTTGATAGCCTCTAAATCGTTCCTACTTGTTTCCATCCCTCAGCTGTTGGCTCCAGGACGATCTGACATTTTACGTGTCCGTGGTTGCTTATGCCGCACTGGTCTTTCTCTTCAACATTGCGGTAAATAGCTATAACATTTGCCGAACTGTTGTCAAGATGCTCATACTACTTAAAGAATGGCCTATGCCCCCATCTTAAATGGTAAATGTATCACAGTATTCTCCTAATTCCCTTTTTTCTTTCCCTTTTTGAGGGCACTTGCCTATGTAGTCTATTGTTTTCCTGTATTTAACTAGATCTTCCTTTGAATCTCCTTTTAGGTTTTTGTCGTGGTTCTGATCCAGATTCGTCACATGCGAGTCAACAGGCCGGCTGGGATTCGCGGCGGACTCATGCACGACCTGAAGGGCGTGGCCAGTATCACTCTGTTACTGGGACTCACCTGGACAGTTGGCTTCTTCACGGTGGGACCAGCCAGAGTAGTTCTGCTCTACCTTTTCGCTGGACTCAACACCCTGCAAGGTTGTGGTTTCAATTGTTCTACAATCAATGAAAACCATGCTGGATGATATCTAAATATGCAAATGTGCAGCATGTAAAGACCAATGCACAAGAATAGAAAGACATGTTGGTTAACAAATTGTTGAAGAGGAAGGTTTACTAAACACGTACGCAGGTTTCGTCAACATCCCTCCTCATGTTCACAGTTAAACAGAAACCAACAAAATAAAGAAGTTCATTCAACAGAGGCTGAATGATGCAACTATTTCACAACTGCCTTTACCTCGGCTGGCCTTTGTTATATTGCTTTCTTTTATGTCTGAGAGTGACACAAAGAAACCCTTTCAACTTCTCACTTCTGGGATAGAAATGGCTTGCTCGATCGAGACTACAAATAACTGCTGAGGGCCAAAAGAGCCACCAAAGATCCAATATTGTCCTTCTAAGCTCATGACCTTATCTTTCTTTTATGTATTCTCCAGGACTTTTCATCTTCCTATTCCACTGTCTGATGAAGGAAAATGTCAGGAAACAGTGGAGGATTCACCTCTGCTTTGGACGTTTTCGACTTGATGAGTATTCTGGTACGGCAGCCAAACATAGCTTGATGTTGATTCAGAATCAGAATACCTTTATTAGTCCCACGGAGGGGACATTTGCGTAGTTACAGCAGGAAAAAGAGCCACAAAAAAAGTACTAAGTTATGATATAATACAAAATAAAAAGTTACATAATTTAAAATTCACACCTTGTAACAGTTCTAAGGATTTAGCAGCCAGGTATATATTACACAGTTATTAACGGCATTTATATATTGCACATAGTTTGTTGGTATTCAGCAGCAAGGGGTGATATAGTCTGGGTTGTGGTGTGTGGGTGGGGGTCAACTGGTTGTATAGTCTGACCGCTGCAGGAAGGAAAGATCATCACTCAAGTTACATTTTTGGTGACTTGAAGAAATATTGTACTGTCACTGTGTTTGTGAAAGCACAGTTCCTCTTATTAGGTTAATAAATTACACTAAAGGCAACTCATGGCTTTAATGACCTGTTATTGGTGTTGTCATCCAGACTACAGCAACTCGGGATCAGTGGGAGTGACGGCCAAGCCCAAATCAAATCCTCCAAAAGCGCCAGTACCATCAGTGGATTCTGTGAAGTCCAGCTCCACAGAGAGCACATCAGCGTCCTCCGACTCCAGCCAGAGAGACTCGTCCTGCAAGAGACCAAACCTGGGTGAGAAAACGAGGCCTAGTTATTCAAAAGTAGCATACATCCTTATTAAACACATAGTTATCAGTCTTACAACACTGCTTTCACTTTAGTAGACTTGAAAGATAATTATAAACAATGCATTAAGTTCAACACTGATATAAATTGAATACAAAATAAACGCCATTTCTGAAAATGTGCTTAGAGAGATAATAAGCCGAGGGTTTGGCTTCCATTTTATTCCATAATGACTTTTCTTTAAAACCCAATTATCATCTTTTGTCATTAAACTCTTAATGAAGGCCTTAATTCTCCTCTTTTGTTAGACATTTAAGGTTACAATTAAAAGTTCTCATTCATCTTGTGGGAATATGAAATGATGATGATCACAGATTTAGTCATAATCACAGTCCCTCGGCTGCCAGAATCACAGTGAAGGTCACTGTATGCATTAATGAGACTGCACTGACGTTAAATAATTACACAGAAGCCTTTGTAATGGGACCTAAGAGGACATCATTGTTATTTTTTAAAGGTTTCCTTCCCCACCTGTCAGCTCAATTTAAGTTGAACCCCCAAATCCCAGGCATGAATTCTCAAACCACATTTGAGAACATTTCAGATTTTCACATCTCAAATTGTTCACAGAGGTTTAATTACCTTGCAGGCCTTTTCGTGAATTCCCTGGCTCTCCCTCGTGCCCAGAAGAGCCCCTCTGATACGGGAGCTCTGCCCTCCCCCAGGGGGGAGAACCCAACACCTGGCTGGAGGAATCACTTGCTTGGCCAGCAAGGAAATAGATAAAACACAAAGAACCACAGACACATGCAAATGCTAGAAACTGACCGAAACAGCAGCTTTAACATGCATTTGTTTTTTAACATAAGCTACAGATATCAAATTAATTCCTTTGTAATCCAGCTTCATTAGATCATTTTATCATGCAATCCTATTGTCTTTTTGTTTTTGCCAACTACTGATAAAGAGCCTGTAATTATGAAGTCCTGAGTAGTTGCATCAGTTCCAATGAGGAGTTGGTTGCCAAGCAACTGGTGAGATGGAGCCATGGTGACAATGAACCATGGTTTGTCTGAAAAAATAATAAAACATTTAATTTAAGATGATGCAAGTCTCCCTGTGTCCCTTCTCCGCCTCTCTTTGTGCCAGTTAATATGTATTTCAAGTTCAACCAAATAATTATGCTGCAGTTGTTCCTCGAATCACTTCAGGAGGTGATTACCATTTCTGAATGTGGCTGCCATCTTGTTCTTTAAATTCTGACACCTTCCTTGTGAAACATGTGATGATCCAAAATAGTCAATGCGGTTTAAATACACCACTGGCATTGATTGGAGTTCATCAGTAGAGTAGTGGAAAGAACAGAAATCATTGCTACATAAAACTCCCATAAAGGTTTGCCTTTTTTTACGTCATTTATTTTACCTGGATTGTTTTATGGACTACATTCCCTTAACACTTGCAAACCAAACACTTGCAACAGTTATTCATTCTGTATTGTTTGACAAAACATTTGAATCTGAAGACTAGCAGAGTTGTTAGTACATAAACAAATATTGCTTCAGAATGCTTTGTACTATTAAATGACCAGTCAGAAAATACACGAATGAAGATATACAACTAGAGACTTTCAAAAAGGAAATATAGTTGCATATCTTTTACCCATTTTCTTCTTCAACTATTTGACACCAGGAAGGTTATCTCACTTACTGCAGAGTGCAAGAGTTACGTTTGATAATGATATTGAAGTACTGTTTCTTTCTCTTAAATATCTATCTCAAGAGGTTAGTAAAAACTAGGGGACATTGGAGCATTAAAGAGGTTGAAACTATGATCTATATCCTTGGTTCTTAGTCGGTGATTAAAAATGTGTAAAATTATAAAACAGTGAATGAAATTGTGATGAATCCTGTCATGATAGCAACTCCATACAGAACAAGGCATGGGTAGAATTATTTTTATTTTTATCAACTCAAAACATCTTTTTGTCAATCAGTAAAACATTTTGGCTACAAATGTGATAATGGGTAATAATGTTCCTCCATTCTACTTGAGTGGCTTACTGTTCCCATAAGTCATGTGTTTCCACTCACAACTCATTCAAACTAACAAATACTTCACTGTGTTGCAGAACAGTAGGGTCTCGTTTATTTTTTTCAAACACCTACACAAACAGAAAACTAAAATATGTTATGTAAAACAACACTTTTTAAAAAATGTCTGTTAAAAAAGGTATTGAACGAAGAGCACAGCAAACAGAAGTAAACTAAATCTCAAGAGGAACATGAACTTTTGCGTGGCCTGTTTCTCAGCAGGAGCACATTCAAACGCTGAAGCAGTCCACCAGCTTTTTTGAATTCCAGGGACCTGCATGGTTACTCAGAAACCGCTCCTTGACCAGATCTTTGACAGTCTGGTAGGCGACGGCTTCCATCTATAAAACAAACATTCACATCATCATGCATCACATCGGTCTAAAAACCACAATGAAACAAAGTTACAATTCCCTCACATTCACCACATTTACACTGGCTTGCTGGGTGGAATGTGTAGTAATCGTATAATCATTTATAGCTGACCTTGACGCTGTGGTAGACGGGAAGATTCAGCAGGTAGCTCTTCCCGCTGATCTCTGCAGCTAGGAGGAAGTAACTGTAGAACGCTCTCTTGCAAAGTCTGCTGGAGAAGTCGGGTCCACTCACAGAAGGAGAACTGGGAAAAACGTATATTTCAATGAATGCTTCCCTTTAGATGCATTGATTGTCTTATATACATGTATTGATCGTTTTGAGAACTGTATTGTATATTAGTAGATTTCAAATATATTAACCCTTTCAAATATATTAACCGGTAAAGTTGACTTTGCAGTATGCGTAACACACACACACATACACTCCCTCACCCATGAGTCATAATAAAGCTCGCCAGGTAATTAGCATTAATGAGAGGTGGGTGCTGTATCAAGAATCCACTCGTAGGATCAAAAGTTGTAAATGTTAAATGTGTGTTCATGCACTGCATTAAGTGACTTGCTCATAACTAAGTTTTCCACCGCCAACACTATTTTGGAGGACGCAGTCTCCGCTTCAGGGGCTTAGCTGTGCTGAACATAAAAAAGTGTTGTGCAAGACAATTCTTCTATGCTGTTACAGCAAAAATCTTAAATGTGGTCTGGCTGACTGAGGGAAGAGTTTCCTGCAGGCAGCACTTACCACTGCTGCTAAGCTATTTCCTCTGGGAAACCTAGGGAAATCTCTGGGGGGGCAGACCGGTGGTGAGAAGTGTTTTCAGTGAAAGAATACATTCTGTGCTGGTATCGGGTAGGGATGGGAATTTGAAAGCAAATGTATATTCGAATATTCGACCCCCCCAAAAAACGGTTAACCGAAATGTACATATCCTATAAAAAAAAAATTGGGTAATTTTTTTTTTTTTTTTATAATAAATAATAATTTTTGGAAATAAATAAATACATGTTCAAATAAGTGTAGAAACCAAGTCGAATTTGTAAAATGTATTGAACTGGTGATCACAGTTTGACAGCTATAGGCCTACAGCTTTCATGTGCTGAGGCGATTCACAATCAGCCCAGCTGTTGAGAAGACCCTCTCAGCTGGAACGGAGGTTGCGGGTATAGCAAGGTATAGCATGTATATATAAGTTTAATTTGGCATAGTTTGACCTCTACACCGCACTCACTAACCTGGTCGAAATATTTCCACACATTACTCCTTTTTGACACCATGTCTGTTGTGTAGGACTCTTCTTAGAGTGTAAATAATTACCGGACTATGACTGGTAAAATATGTTGAATACCGGCAAAACTAAATCTCTCCAGTCAAAATGTCTGTACTTTGCCGCCACACACGGTTGCCAAGCAGCGCTTATTGTTGTTTAGGCTGGCCACTCATGTGTCGCGAGTGTTGACAGGGGGCGGGGGAGCACGCTCATGAACTGTTAGCGCCGGAACCTCGCAACGGCTGCGGAGCGCATTTGCGCCACATTTGGGCCTAAGATGAGGTTTGAGTCTGCGTGATCTGCATGTAGGGAGGGGCAACAGCCATATCATTGGCTAGCACTAGCTAGATCTGATGGATTTGGACATAAACACGAGTGAAGTATAACCGGACGCGAGAGAGAGAGAGAGATCAGCACCTGCAGCTCTGCCCGCTGTGAATGACCGGTGAGCGGAGAAAAACACACCTTTAGACATCAACTAACACATTTAGCTATGGCACTGTCGTATATATATATATACATTGAATTATTCAATTTGATAATATGTAATCAACTTAGGCATCCCTCCCAAAAATTTTTTTAAAAAAATTAATAAAAATATTCATAACTCATATTCGAATACCTGAATAATTTCGAATAATCGTTCCCATCCCTAGTATCGGGTATGACAGCATCAATGGGAGCCGACTTTAGCAGATGGCTGTGCAGGGTGCCTGAAATCATTTTGAAGGAATACTCCACCCACTTAAAGATCAAATGCAAAGCTTCCAAATATGCTACATTTTTATAGAAATGTTGTTTTTAAGACTGCCTGTATTTTTTATTTTATTTAAATCGAGATAATACACCCAAAAAAAAGCTTTTTATTGATCCAAAACTCGACCCAAAGCCGTCTGAATTTCTGACATGTAATTCCCAGCAGCCTCCGCGCGTGTGACGTAATAGTGGCCAAACAGTCTCTGGACCAAATATCCCGACTCGGCAGTCTCGGTCACATGTTTTTCGAAAAGAAAACTGAATTAACATGGGTTATTGTTGTGCTTTTTGTTGTACGAACGGTGCGGGATCTGGGAGAGTTTTACATGCATTTCCCAAAGACCAAATCATCCGCAAAAAATGGATTTTTTTAGTGAATCGTGTTGGATGGCAACCGACAAAATGGAGCAAGTTGTGTTCTGACCACTTCGCGTGTGATGCATACGAGGTTGATCCTGCTATCATGAAGTCTGTTGGTGGAGAAGCATTAATAGCACGTCGGAGGCTGAAACCCGGAGCCGTCCCCTCCACATCTCAGCACAAGAAACCACTGAAAGAACGAAAGAGCCGGGCGATGCAGAAACGCCAAAGAATTGAGGTAAACAACTTTTGATTAGATTTAAAAGCGCACGGAGCACAGCAGATAACGCAGATAACGGAATTGCAGTTTTATTGCTTATAGAGGTGGGCACCGTTCGATTCTGTGTCTTTACGATCATAAACAATGAGTTGGATGTGGAGCTAGGATAAGTAATAAGGGCGCTAGGAGTGATTTCGGTGCAGTAATAGGTTAGCATTTTTCGCTCGGGGCTAATTCACTGTTAGCATTGTAGTTTATCTGCAGCTCATTCATCGCTCCTCCACTCATAACGGAAAAGTGTGAACAATATGCATTATGATAGGGATTTAATCCACTATTATTCCTCCTGGCCCAATTAAAAATGCCCCCCGCGCAATTAAAAGTGACTGTGAGCACTTAGAAAACCCAACATTCTTCTAACCACTTCATTAGGCCTATGCATCAAAAAAGCCCTCCGCCATGCTTTCATTTCTTTCAGCCGAGTGGGTGCTTATAGAGGTGGGCACCGTTAGATTCAGTGTTTTTACGATCATAAACAATGTGTTGGATGTGGAGCTAGGATAAGTAATAAGGGAGCTAGGAGTGATTTCGGTGCAGTAATAGGTTAGCATTTTTCGCTCAGGGCTAATTCAGAGTCTCACTGTTAGCATTGTGTTTGGTTGTGATGGTTCCCAAATTACCCAGTGGTGAGTCCGCCTGGACTTTATTTTTCTAAACCTCTCTAAAAAGGTCAAACGTCACTTGTTTTGCATCAATCTTGATACAGGGTACTTATTATATGTTATAGTTTGGATTCCTAAAGCTTCTAGTCTATAGTCTACTCAGAATCAGACATGATAACGAAACTAAGTTGTACTATCGGCGGAAGCAGCTGTGAGCGAAAAGCCAAGGTTTGTTTGTTTG